AAAAAAAAAAAAAAAAAAAAAAAAGGGTAATGGTGAGATTATTTTGCAGTGATATTTCTTTGTAATTACTTAGAAAATACATGAAAAAAAGTCTTTCATTAGTAGCATATAATGAGATATGAAGCTGATATTCTAATTAACTAGATGGATTCAAAACTGTCTTACTGAATGGAACCTATCATGTTCACTTATTTGATCTGTTTTTGTTTTGGATCCAACATACCACCCAAATAATGGTAGGCTTTTTGTATATCACTTTAGAACTTCTAAATCATCTTTCATACATCATTTCCTGACTTTGAAGTCCAGTTTTGAGCACATACAAATCATATTATTTTCCACGAGAAGAATGTCCGGTCCTGTCATGCTTGTGTACCTAAAGGAATTTTTACAAGAACATAACTTTGATTCGTAAAACAGTTTTCAAAAATGATACCCAAAATGAGTCTGATTCATGGTAATATTACTACCTAAATTATATAGTCTACCAGTGCCTTCATGGGAATACTACTCTTTGGCTATATAAATCAGTTCTGTTACCTTATACCTTATATCAGTAGGTAAAATATAAGATATATTCACCATTATGCTAGCAAATTGGAAAGGGAGGAACGAGGCCAAAGGGGTAAGAAATGATTCAAACAAAAAAGAAGAATTGTGCTCCCTTAGTCATATACAGCAGGAAGAAACAGAGGCTTGCAAGAAAATGTACACAGTATTCATTCATTTAGTACTTACTGAGCCTCAACTTTCTGTCTTACAACTGTGGAAACAAGAGACATAGAAAATAAGATGTTAATCTAGCTTGACTCCTGGTGATTAAAAAAAGAAAATAAGATGTTAAATGATAAAGTGCTGTGAGAATTCAGAGAAATGGAAAATCAGCACGAGCTGAAATTGGTCTGGTTAGTGGCGCTGAAGCTGGACCTTGAAAAGAGTGTAGAAAATTGGGTGTCTCATTTTGTTCTCATACATTAGCACTTTAGTAACTCTTTGTGACTTCATAGCTTTGTTCCTATTCTTGCCTACATCTATTTCATGGTTTTTCTTTGTTTTGGTTTGGTTTGGTTTTTTGTGGTTTTTTTGAGACAGGGCCTCTCTCTCTTGCCCGGGTTGGGGTGCAGTGGCACCATCATAACTCACTGCAGCCTCAACCCCTGGGGCTCAAGCGATCTTGCCTCAGCCTCCTGAGTAGCAAGTACAACAGGGGCACACCACCATGCCTGGCTATTTGTTTTTTGGTTGTTTTTTTTTTTACAGTCTGGTCTCCCTATGTTGCACAGGGTGGGTGTACATCTGTTTTCATGCTTAGCCAACTATTATCCTATGAATTTCATTGTTCTCCTGGATACTCCCATGGCTAGGTCATTGCCTCAGTTCCTATGTGTTGCTTAAAGTGTGCAGCATCTGTAAACTCATAACTTCTCCTCTTCCCCAGGCTGTACATCAGAGACTCCTCATGCCTTAACCGTCAGCCCTTTTAAAGCATTCTCTCCTCAGCCGCCAAAGTTTTTCAAGCCCCTGATGCCTGTAAAAGAGGAGCATAAGAAAAGGATAGCCCTTGAAGCAAGGCCTCTTCTAAGCCAGGAGGTAAATGTCTGACTTGTCTGTTATGTGCAGAATAGAGCAGAGTGTGTCGCCTGTGAAGCAGCCGTTTGCATTAACAAGCCGAGTGCTACATGTGGATGTGCATGGTCATCGCTCCATGGACCCCCGTTCTCGAATTCCTCTTTCTCAAGCATGCAGAGTCATGGTAGAATCTCTTGTTTGTTGTCGCTCCTGTGGTTTTATTTCTTTGTGTTTATGACTTTTCAAAGTATTTTTTATGTTTCAAGTGAGAAAGATGTTTTCTAGGTGTTTTGAAAATATTAAAGGCTTTTTTTTAATTATTTTTCTTTTTTGTCTTATTGGGGATTTTTAATTTTGTTTTTTATAGAGATAGGGTCTTGCTGTGTTACTCAGGCTAGTCTCAAAGTCCTGGCCTCAAGTGATCCTCCTGCCTCAGCCTCCCAGGGCACTGGGATTACAGGCATGAGCCACTGTTCCTGGTCAAAAGGCTGTTTTTTAAATCAGACTAATTATGCTTTTTGTCACAGAATCTGTTTATTCCTGTCGTATTTCTCCAGTAGTTTAACTCTGGCCTACAGAATTGGCTGCTGCATTACTCACATGTAATAAGGGTGTTAGCATTGCTTTTCTAACTTGCATGTACTTAATGTGTATTTTGGCCGTTGTCGTCTTTTGTGTGTGATGCATCTGTGTGTCTTAACCTTTGCAGAGCATGCCTCCACCTCAGGCACATAACCCTGGCTGCATTGTGCCCTCAGGAAGCAATGGCAGCAGCATGCCAGTAGAACACAATAGCAAACGTGAGAAGAAGATTGTAAGTTCTGGAACCGTTTCTGTCATATTGCCTGGTGGTGGGTTTAAGGCCCTTTCACAGACAATCATCCAAATGCTCGAAGAAATTAAGACTTGTATTGGGTCTTTGTCTTAAAAAAATTAAAATATGACCGTTGGTAAAGATATTTTGCATGGATGTGGCCATGACCTACAATTTTATTTTATTTATTTTTTTGCTTAGGATAAGTTTGCTTAGAAAAAGGGAGAAAGGCACTTTGATTGCTTCTGGTCTTTATGAAAAGTGTAACAAAGAGATATCTTTAATTAATACCAAAATCTTTCTAATGTGCCTATACATATTGCCCAGATTCTGAAGTTAATCTACCTAGAGGAATTGCACTTACTTGGAGTAAGTAATCATGCATTTAGCTGTGGATATGTTTGGAAGCTTTTTTATGTTGCCTGATGCTATTGCCAAGATAATTCTGTAGTTAGAGCTTCATTGCAGTCTACCATGACCCTTCATCATCTCACTGTCTAGGGTAGCCTTTGTTAATTAGCTGGCAAAATATATTCCCATACATTGGTACCGACCTTGCATTCAGGATGACTTATGTATATTTTGCCACAGGTAGGTTGAAACTCTACCTGTGAAACCTCATTCCTCAGCACTTGGTTTTAAAATTATAAATTTGAGATACAGTTGAAAACACTGCATACCAGGCACCTTAGGTTATAAATTATACCTCAATTAAAAAAAAAAAAAAAAAAACCTGTGTATTCTCAAGCCTGGAAAGAATTCTATATATTTTTTTTTTTGGTCTCAGCTTTTACCCTCCTGTGGCTTCCTAGGTTTTGAAAAGTAAAGCCAGCTTGGGGAGACAGGAGGCTACTTGATGCTTATGTTGAATCTGATTGTCTCTGTTGGGCAGAGTGTGGGGAGTCTCACTTCCTGGTGACACCATGCCAGACCCATTCCCAAAGCTCATTAGTGTGAGATCTTTTAACAGTTCCTTTCGCACACTGTGTGAGAACTAACTGCAGCTTAATCCGGATGTGCAGTTGGCCACCCCCCTGAATGCTTGGGGTGCTGGTGGATCTTCAGAAACAACCTTCTCATTTCTAATATGAGGAAAGAAGAAAAGCACCATTTTCCCTCCATTTCCCTCCATCCCTCTTCACCTCCTCTGCCTTTGGTTTCTCCCCATCCCTCTATCCCAAAACCCCATCCTAGTTTCTGATGGAGAAGAGTCCACATATTAATAGCTGCTCCTTCATCTCTCCAAATCTTATTGAGCTATTCGCCCACTTACCCGACCACCCCCTGCTCTATTAACAAGGGCTGCAGTGTGGGCTAAAAAAGGCCAAATGACTAGTTTGTTCCCCTGCCAATTCTCGGGCTCTGTGTCTGATTGGATCTGTTTATTGGCATGACACTTATCACTGTGGTGCACAGCCACTCAATTTAAACCTATTGTAACAACACATTTTGGTAGAACACCCTCAAGAGACTGCTGGATGAGCTTTCTGGGCTGCTCAACAGGTATTTTCACAGTTCACAGGGCTAGACTCATGTTTTCTTCATGTTCCCTTTAATATTTTAAAATAAAACCCATCTCAGGGCTTTCAGCTAGCAGAGGGCAGGATGGAACCGTATTATCTTGACCCAAGAAGTCTCAAGCAGCAGTTAGACTCTATGACTGAATGCGCCATGGAGTACAGTAAGGAGAATTTGATGGTGTTACTGTTCTTGCCAGAGTCTTACTCGAAAAAGCTGTCCTCTACTCTCCATAGGAAACTGGCTTGCTGAGCATTCTGTACTCAAGAGGTTTTTGGGCTCTTTAATTCATTCCAGATAGCAGTTTTTCAGGGTGTTTTGGTAGAGTTTAAGTGCATTGTTTGTTTGACCTAAGGTTCCTGTTTCTCTTTGGGAAACTTTATTTTTTCTCTTATAAGTGGGTACAAACTGTTTTCTTCCTCTGTGACTAATTCACATTCTTTTCTCTTCCACTTTTGAACAATCAGAGTGACTCAGGAGTTCAGACTGATCAAGAGAGTTTGAAATCATTCTTGAGAAGGACAGTATCAAGACATTGTTCCTGTCATTGTTTAACCCACCTAATTACCATAGTAACTTCTGTAATAAAATATAGTCAATGTGGCTATGCTTGATTCTTAAAGCAATATTTTGTTGTTTGATCAGTTTGAGAAGACAAGATGTACTTCATGTCTCGTATGAATAGGATAGAGCCAACAATATACCTTTGGAGTCTATCTTTTTTAAGTCACAAAACATAGAGAATAGCTGAAAGAAAGTCAGTGATTTTTCCTAGTATCCACATGACCCTTCTCTTAGGTCTTGCATAGATAGCATGTGGTTTTTTCCCCTCGTTTAAACAAAGGGTTAGAATTGTTGAGCAACTCGCTCAAGGTCTCACAGTTAATAAGAGCATAAGACCAAAGAGCCCCATTCCTCAGCATAATTGAGGGGACTCCAGTGACTCCAGGTGCTTCCAAAGATAGTGCAGTTCCAGTATGCCCTGCGGCTGCTCTTCAGACAAAGGGCTTGCTCCTCAGTACCATGGACAGAAGTACTGGAGCCCTTGGCTGGTACAGTTCTGCAGAGACCTCTGGTAAACAGCACAGACATGATTATAATAGAAGTGGAAATTGCATTAATCAAGTGAAACTCCTTACAAGGAATCACTGCTTTAAAGTGGATGTCAATCCCTTTTTAAAATCAAGATGTTTTGTCTATAGATAAATAGCAGTGTAAGTTAAATTCCAAAAATCAAATGAAGACTGTAGCTATAGAGAAGCTGGAGAACTTGACTCCATGCACCACTTTTGGTAGGGTTTTCATTATTTTTGTCCTTAAGACAAAAATAGGAAGGTGCTTAGTTTATTCTTCTTTAAGATATAATGAGAAATGATATTTCTGGTATAAAAAGTCTAAACCAAACTCCCTCAAAATACAGTTTAAGCCAATTAAATCATCCCTTAATTGGCAATAACTCAGTAAACATTCAATCTCCTTTTAAGTATTGGAAAATGTTTAATCTCTGCTAAATTTTCCTTTTTCTGGAATAAGCTGTCCCTACTGTCTTCACCTTTTCCTTTGGGATTTTGGGTTATTTTCCCCACTGTGAACTGCTACCTATTTGAACTTAATCTCTTGGGGCTTTGTAGATTCTTAGTTATATTAATGTCACTCTAATCCTTTAGGACTAATTTATTATCTTTGATAAGTTTACAACTCTATCTGCTCAGTAAATTCATGATTGCATATTTCATTCAGCAAAATTATATTTTAGGATAGCAGACCTTTCCTTAGTATTGAGAAGAAATAACTTTAAGCATATAAAGGACCCCAAATTACTAATTCTCATCTTTAAATTTGATTTTTCTTGCAGTAAATAACTTTAGTAATTAATTACAGTAAATAGTAATTTAGTCATTAATTGCATTATATATGCTTGGACTTGGAGAATTGTGTTTCTTTGCCAGGTTAAATCAAAAGGAAATAGAATAGATACAAACACTTGAAATTTAATTTTGTGCCGGGCGAGGTGGCTCACACCTGTAATCCTAGCATTTTGGAAGGCTGAGGCAGGCGGATCGCCTGAGGTCAGGAGTTCTAGACAAGCCTGGCCAGCATGGTGAAACCCCATCTCTACTAAAAATACAAAAATTAGCCAGTCATGGTGGCAGGTGCCTGTAATCCCAGCTACTCGGGAGGCTGAGGTAGGAGAATTGCTTGAACCCAGGAGACGGAGGTTGCAATGAGCCGAGATCACACCATTGCACTCCAGCCTGGGCAACAAGAGTGAGACTTTGTCTCCAAAAAAAAAAAAAAAAAGAAAGAAAAAAGAAATTTAATTTAATTTAGAGTCTAAACATGACAAGTAGAGAATATAGAAAATATAGGCAAAGGCTGCTTGTTCAGACAATTCTATTCAGTCTTTGTTCCTTCACCACCATTTCTCCAAACCTAGGGAAAGAATGCTCTACCACACCCACTTTTTTGATAATGCTACTTAATTTGGATGCAGATTAAGATAAGATGGAAATAGATTAGTGTCTCCAAAAATTTTGTTTTGCCGATTTCAGGAACTTTATCACTAATATTTGATATTCACCTTTGATTAATAGCTAAAGAATTAAGATCACCAATTCCTTTACACATTTATATTCAGTCACATTTTTAGAACTTAGTTATAAAAACTAAATTATTTTAAAAGCTGAGAAGCATTTAAGAGAGTATTAAACTGCCAGGCACGGTGGCTTACGCCTGTAATCCCAGCACTTTGGGAGGTTGAGGCAGGCGGATCACGAGGTTAGGAGATCGAGACCATCCTAGCTAAGACGGTGAAGCCCCGTCTCTACTAAAAATACAAAAATTAGCCAGGTGTGGTAGCATGCACCTGTAGTCCCAGCTACTTGGTAGGCTGAGGCAGGAGAATAGCTCGAACCCAGGAGGCTGAGATTGCAGAGAGCCGAGATCGCGCCACTGCAATCCAGCCTGGATGACAGAGCGAGACTCCGTCTCAAAAAAGAAAAAGAGTATTAAAATATTTTTGAGGTATGTAGAATCTTGAAATGCAAAAGAAAATACTACTGTTCATCTAAACAGATGAAAGTTATGTTCATTTGTAAACAAGTATTTGCCATGCCTTGAAGATGTTGCCCCCTCCCCACCTGAATTAAAATGCAAATTTATGGGCCGGGTAAAGTAGCTCAGACTTGTAATCCCAGCTACTCAGGATGCTGAGATCAGAGAATTGCTTGAGCCCAGGGATTTGAGCTACAGTGAGCTGCAATTGCACTACTCCATACCAACCTGAGTGACAGAGTGGACCCCTGTCTGTAAAAAAATAAATAAATGTAAATAAATCTTAAAATAAATAATATGCAAACTTAATGAATAGGGCTGATGTTTTGGTTCCAGGTCTTTACATGCATCTAGTTGTTCTAATTGTATAGATATTTTAAACCAGATGACCAATGAAAGAAAGCTATTTTTGAGGTATCTAAGTTTTCCTGTAAATGAAATTTTTATGCATCCATGCAAAGTCCAGGATTGTTCTAAGAGCAAGAGTGCAAAGTTGTAATTCTCTGAGGGAGGGAGCATGCCTTCTTTTGCTCACCGTTGCTATTCCCAAGCTCTTACGATGATGGCTGGCACGTAGTGGATGCTCAGTGTGTATTTGTTGAATGAAAGACACATTTTAAAAGGAATATTTACAATTTCATTAGGTGCTTCTGAGGTTAATTACAAATGGCTAGAGAGTATATCATTTATTTTATTCGGACGTAAAATATCCACATTTTTTTTAAACAAAAATAAAAGAACCATTCATTTGGAGAGAGATTGGGGAGTTGGTGACACTCACTTTTGCACGTATTTACCGATTGTTATGAACAGGGTTTGAAAACTATTTTACAAAGGAGATTTTCATTTAAACTTTACCATGCCTTCTTCACCTTCTAGCCAAACCCTCCACTCATACTTCCCAGAAATCCAGAAGACAGCGATTGTCAGATAAATTGTTAGTATTTTATTGCCTTGCAATATTTAGTATAATATAAAAGTGAGTCTTGAAATTGTGTTTTTTGCCCTTTTGTAGTTGGGTTCTTTGTTTAACTCCCCTTTCCTCCATAAAATAGCTGAGAAATTTTTTACAAATTACCTTAACTACCTGTACTTTGCTTTTCAAGGTGAAGATTCTAAAAACAAATGGAGTGGCCCTTCTCTGCCTCTGCCTGTTTCTCTGCTCATTTAATGAGAAAAGAGAAAACATCACAACTAAAAACTGATTCTGAATGACTAATAAAATGTCCAATGCACTTCAGTTCCACCCTTTCTCTTAAACCAGGGAAGGAATGATTTCTAATTAGCACTGAGTGAACCTAGAAGAACTAAATACCCTTCATATTAGATGACAAGGGGCTTATATTCACAGGTCTCTGAGAATACCGATATACCTATATCTGCAATAGGTGACATGATCTGGCCAGATTTGGAAAGACAGAAAGAAAACACTGAACACCATGTGAATGCGAATGCCTTTAATAGCCAAGTATTTAAAACTTGTCTCAACAGCACAGTCACTACAAGGAGCTAATGACTGACTTTTGCTTTCCTTCTATAGGACTCTGAGGAGGAGGAAAATGAGCTGGAAGCCATTAACAGGAAGCTGATAAGTTCACAGACTTATGTGCCTGTGGAGTTTGCTGACTTCAGTGTTTACAATGCCAGCTTGGAGAACAGGGAATGGTTTTCCTCAAAAGTAGATCTGTCAAACTCACGGGTCTTGGAGAAAGAAGTGTCCCGTAGCCCTACCACCAGCAGTATTACCAGTGGCTACTTTTCCCACAGTGCCTCCAATGCCACCCTGTCTGATATGGTGGTCCCTTCTAGTGACAGCTCAGATCAGCTGGCCCTTCAGACAAAGGAGGCAGACTCCACCGAGCACTCAACACCATCACTTGTGCATGATTTCAGGCCGTCCTCGAACAAGGAGTTAACAGAAGTAGAAAAAGTCTTGGTAAAGGACAAGATAATTACGGTGCCACTCAAGGAAAACAGTGCCTTAGCCAAAGGGAGCCCATCCTCCCAAAGCATCCCTGAGAAAAACTCCAAATCACTGTGCAGGACTGGCTCATGTGCAGAACTAGATCTCTGCCCCAGCAAAAGCAGCCAGCCAGCCAGGGGATTCTGCCCCAGGGAGGTGACGGTAGAACACACCACCAACGTCCTTGAGGACCATTCTTTCACAGAGTTTATGGGAGTGTCAGAGGGAAAAGATTTTGATGGTTTGACATATTCTTCTGCTGGAGAGCTTTCGAGTAGGAAGAACCTACCAAATAAAACAGGCAGCAAGACTGTCTCAGATGGGCTCCACCACCCCAGCCAGCTGCATTCCAAGTTAGAGAATGACCAGGTAATCATTCCAGAGGAAGCCCTTTGGGTTCTGTGCTGTCAGTGAGTATGTCTAACTGTATACAAACCCAGAGACCCTTCACTGCAATGACTTGGTAGGAAAGATTCATCTAGATGTTTCTGATAGCAAAGATGAGCCCACAGAGAAGCAGGCTCACTTCCTGCATAGCTGGCCCTGTTGAAGAGCAAGTCTGCCTTGGGAACTAGAATGCAATTTTGAAATTATAGGACCAGTGGATTTTTTTTTTACCTGGCATATGGGTTGGTGTTGAATTAAGTGTTCAGATGGATAAGGATCAAGCTCATATCCGTTCCCTGAGATGTGCAGTTACTAGATTTCCCAAGGTATTTGGTAGCATCTATCATATTTCAACAAATCTGTGATTCCTTTCATTACTGTATGATCCATTATTTTAAGTATCATTAAGAAAAAATACTGCCAATTAAACTTTATAATACAAACAGTTATAAGACACACCCCAATTTCAGAGATGTTAAAATGAGAGAAAAACATATATATTGTAGAACTGGAAAAAGACAGTCCTTTGGTGCCCATAGGTGGAAAAGCGCTTTGGGGAGGTATAGGCAAATTTCACCAGCAGTTGAAGTTTGGGCTTTGGAAGTAATTCAGGTTAGTTTATAATGTTGGTTAATTTTCTTTTTTATTTTATTTATTTATTTTTTTTGAGACGGAGTCTTGCTCTCGCTCTGTTGCCAAAGCTACAGTGCAGTGTCACAATCTTGGCGTATAGCAACCTCTACCGTCCTGGCTCAAGCAATCATCCTGCCTCAGCCTCTCATGTAGCTGGGACTACAGGCACGCACCACCACACCTGGCTAATTTTTTTTATTTTCACCATGTGGCCAGGCTGGTCTCAAACTTCTGACCTCAGGTGATCCATTCACCTCCCAAAGTGCTGGGATTACAGGCGTGAGCCACCACACCTGGCCAATAAATGTTGGTTAATTTTCATATGGGAACAAAATGAGTTTTTACTACTATGGCTAAGGAAAATTGCAAATTATATAAATAAGAGACGTTCTGCTTCTGAGCATTGTGCTCGGAAGTACCACCAACTGTAAGAGGTATGGAAGAAGAGTCATGGCTTAGCAAAATAAAGAACTGACAGAGTTAGAAAGAGGCTTGGTGAAAGTAAGATAACCATGCTGCCACTCTATCCCTTTGTTTTGCTGAGCAAGTTATTCCATTGATGTGGCTTTTTGCCCCAATGCTTTTGCCCCTGCTTTCCATACCAGCTCTTAAAATTTCAGTGTATGGTCATTTATACAGTATACTCATTACTGAACTGCCAAAACCTAAACAGTCATCTCTGACAAGAAGAAAAAGACTTCCTTCCCCAACGTAAGAATAATGATAGAGTCGCTCACCACTGTTCTTGCAAGCAATGCATGAATTAGTTTAGGTCTTCAACTTCCTTTACATGGATTAAAGCGGAAGCTGCATGGTATACATCAGCTTTTCAGTCCTTGTCACAAAGGCCAGTGACAAAGACTCTTTGATTATTTATTGTAAGGTTAGGTTTGCTTCTCAAACCTAAAGGTGCTACAAACTCTAGGGACACAGAGCGTGTGGCAGAGGGTGCTTCTTAAAAATTCAAATTCACAGCCGGGCTCAGTGGCTCATGCCTGTAATCCCAGCACTTGGGGAGGCTGAGGCAGTTAGATTGCCAGAGGTCAGGAGTTCAAGACCAGCCTGGCTAACATGGTGAAACCCCATCTCTACTAAAAATACAAAAATTAGCCAGGCATGGTGCCACATGCTTATATAGTCCCAGCTACTTGGGAGGCTGAGGCAGGAGAATCACTTGAACCCAGGAGGCAGAGGTTGCAATGAGCCAAGATTGCGCCACTGCACTCTAGCTTGGGCAACAGAGCAAGACTCTG